ATATCTGTTTATAAACACCTTGAAATTGTCCTCTGTCTCTTTAAGAACATCCTTCTGCTTCTGTCCCGCCCGTTTCAGCATGGGGCTGGGTGGGTGTGCTCTGTGATAAGGAAGCTCAGCTTGGAGACACAGCCCAGAGGAGGAGCTGGTCCCAAAAGGTGGTTCTAGGCCCAACCGGTCATTTTTGCTCTCCTGCCTGGCTGCCTCAGGACACTACAGGATTTCTCAAACATGCATGAATGAGTCAAAGCAAAACTCTAAGCATGTTTTTGATGACAGGATAACATTATAACATGATATAAAACTCAAAAAAGTTGGATTTTACGTGATATCGCCCATTTAACTGGATAAAAATACAATAGTCAAAACCAAGAAACTGATGAGCTAAAYGTGTTCTCCTTTACTCGCATTATTTATCTCATAAAACACAGTCAACCATTTCAACAAAGCATAAAACCAAAAAGGTTTAATATTACGACTATTTTTTGTGTTAAAAAACTGGTTTGATGCATTCATAGAAACAAGTGTTGTTCCAGGACACAGAATTACTTCGAAACACTGCTTCTGCCTATCAACCGAAAGTACCCTGCAGCCATAAAAGCCTGTGTTAAAAAGCAATCTCCCTGTGAACTGGCCATAATACCAGCACCTCTATTTAAACTAGAGGTTTTAATAGTCACAGATGATGATCAGCCGCCCATGTTGCACATATAAAGCCTCACTTCCTGTTACCTAAGCAACAGTAAAATATTTTATCGCTACGGCATTCCCCGCCAAACTTTACACGCTTGCAGGTGAATAAAATCGTCACCATTTACTAAATTTTATCAAAACTATCAGTATAAGTTGTCATATTCTTTTTTCCTACAACACGTCAGGCTCCCATTTTGGTTCATAAACAGAACAATGCCTGATAACTAATCTTATTTTTTACAACAGAGCTCAGTTCCACAGCAGCACAGCATCATGTAAATGCTCACTCCAAGCTGAAAAGCCAATTAACATTTTTCTAATTGCCTTTGCGTTACTCAAAGCAAMACTTTTCCAATCATAAAATGGGTTTAGCTTTAAAAAAGATGAATTTATGAGTGTCTGCTGTTACATAAATTACAATTATTTTACTTGGGGTAAATAATGGCTGAGTTTCTATATTTCTAATGGCCGTATTAAGAAATGGTAGAGCGTCAAAAGAGGAAAACAGACTAATGCGTTCTTGTTTATATCCTCGTCCATGTGAAGTTGGTTATCACATGATCTTTACAGCACAGCATTCGTGACAAAGTGAGTCTTTCTTATCTGGTCTAAACCTGCCCGTGTTTCAGGACATAAGTAACTCCGCTGCCTCTGAACTTGGAGGCGTACTACAACCGCCAAAATATAAAACCACGTGATTTTAGGGAATGTGCACCTCTTTGAAATCTGACAAGGGCTTCCCTATCGGCACCTCAATAGTCCTCACTCAGTTGAGTTAAAAAAAACAGCAAAGAAAAGTTTGGCTTACCTGTGTTTCTGTTTCCGTCTGGCACATGCATTTATCCAGGATGACCGCTGTAGTCTGACAGTAAATCAGTGCCTTTGGACTAGAGAAGACTGAGCGTTGGGGCAGTGTGAGGTGTTTGACAACATTAAAGTAGAAGGTTAGAGAGCTGAGTTGCCTATAATCCATGAAGCGACACATTGCATGGTGCCATCATAGTCCTGTCATTAGATCGATTTACTAAACAAACGCAAACCAGGGTGGGGATGTTAAACAGTAACCCAGCGCCATAAAACGAGAAGAGAAAGATCACCAGGTGTGTGTGCATGTGTGCATGTGTGCATGTGTGTGTGTGTGTGGGTGGTTGTATGCATGGGAGTGTTAGGCAGGGCCTCTGACAGTCTGGGGAAAGAAGGTGGAGATCTCTTACGTCTTAGGTGATGTTTAACAAGATGCCATGAAGAAAGTTTATTTTTCTTTCCAAGTATCAAACTAAAGCTTTTTTCACAATTAGAAAACACAAATATACATGCAGTAATGATTTATTTATTATTCGTATTCACATATGTTTTTTAAAAAATCAAGTGTTTTGGATGAAAAATAAGTTTGTACTTCCTGTTGACATAGGTTCAACGTTACTCTAAAATGTGTACTGCAACCAAAGACCAGCAGGGGGCAGGGATTCATCACTTCTGAGTCGAGTTCAGATTAAAGTTTTATTTTCAGACAAGAAATAACTGCAGTATTTAACCAATTAAAATACAGATTAAAAAGCAACATTAACCTAACCTGGTTACAGACCAGGGTATCTAATATTTGTCCATAGTCTCTCTCTGTCTCTTCTCACTCAGCTAATGAACAAGATATCAAAAACAAAAACAATAATATAAGTTATATAGTTTAAATATAAATATAACTGTGTTACAACTACTGAAGTAGATCAAGTGGCTCAGGTACGTGCTTTAGTCATTTTGTTTGTTTTTTAAAGGACAGAATTGAATCTTTTGAAGTGAGCTTTTATGGAAATGTTAGGAAAATTAACGTTCACCTTACCTGTTGAAAACCGATCTTTCAGCAACTTCCTTTTAATGAAACAGAGTTGAACTCTGCAAGGACGTAACTTTAGGTCTACCGTTGGTGGGGGTTATGCTCTAAAACCCTGCATGTCATTTTTAGCAATTATGCTTAATTGTAAATATATGACATTGTAAATTTTTAATCAGGTCAGAGTTACCTAAAGACAACAAGAGAGTTGCATCTGTCTTAACCAGTTAATTTCTATTGTGTTTGAGCAAATGATGTCATTTTATTGGGGGTGGGGTATATTGACTGGATCAAATTATTGTGGGGGTCATAATCCGCCTAACCTCCCTACAAATGTTTATTTCTCATTTAAAGTAGATGGTATTGAGATCTGTAAAGTCAGTGAGGTGAAATTTCTGGGTGTCAACATTGATGACAAGCTGACATGGAGACCTCACGTACATTATTTATATATCTTTATCAAAAATATCTAAATCTATTGGAGTACTGTATAAATTCAGGGAGTTATTCAATGACAAGGCTCTGCTTGTGTTTTACATTGCAATAATTGTTCCACATTTAATTTACTGTTTTGAAGTCTGGGGTAAAGCTTGCAAAACAATTACAAATCCAACTTTTGTTTTACAAAAAAGAGACATAAGAATTATCGCTAGAAAAGATTACAACCATCCATCAAATACATTATTTTGTAAACTGAAAATTTAGAAATTCTATGATTTGGTTGACTATAATATTTTACTGTTTATGTACAAACCTCACAGAAACATATTACCTTCCAACATTCAGGCAAACTTTGTTAAGAGAGACGGTTATTATCTAAAGGGGATGGAAATGTTTGTGAAGCTATATTTTCGTACTTGCTTGAAAGAAAGATGTACTTAATCCAGGGCATAGGATTGTGGAATGGTCTGGAAGATKATCTTAAAAATGCTAGATCTATGTATATATTTAAGAGACAAAAAAAGCTAGTTTTTTGAAGGTATGTGAAAAGTAAAATGTGAAACTATATGAAATGTTGTTTGAGTTGATGTTTTTATGGTTTTTTTAGTATTTTGTAAATAATGTTTCATTTGAATATATTCTGGGGATAAAAGGGGCAGTCCTTATAAGATTTATTCTTTTTTCTTTTTTTTTCATTTGTGTATTTTCTTTGTTTTTTTATTGTATATAGTTATTTTTAATGAAATGAATAAAATTTTTTGAATTGAATAGAAATTACTCCTGTGGAACTCTGATCAGATTAAAACTGAAACATTTCATAGTGACGGGACTGCCCAGGATGGTTCAGAAACGCTGCAGCTAGCTGCTGCCACTTTTTTAAATCTTGTAAATACAAAACATAAAATGCAAAGGTTTATTCACATGAACCACATTTTTGCAAGTAAAGCTGTTCAAGTTGTTTGAAGAGCTACAAGAAGCACTGCAAATATTAGTTATCTTAAAAAAAGCACTAGGTTATTGTCTAAATCTTCTCAAATTAAGTGAATTAATCTGCCAGTGCAGTAAGACGATTGCACTTGGTAAGACTTCTTGACACAAGAAAAAATCCAGACTACCAAAATGAATCTAACTCAATCTGCTTTGGCTTGTATCGGTCTCAAAATAAAATCAGAAATACTTTTAAGACCTGATCAGATGAAACGTTTTTGCAGTGAGGTAAGATTGTAATTGTTCATAACTGTTCCACARAACCGCACTTCAAAGAATCCAAAACATATCTTTAAGCAAAGCATTAAAAAGTTATAAACAATAAAAACATAAAGTCATTTTTTTACAGCTGTTCTTGTGCTTCAAATGGACATTTGTGCGAGAAGTTCGTTCACACTTTTTTGTTCAACTCCTACTTCCTGGCAAGCACGCGCTGCAGGTTCTCCTACTCAAGAAGGTGAGCATGTCCAAACAGTTGAAAGTGGTCAGACTCAAAAAAACCTCATTGATGCTCTCGAGGTCAGGGTGATCAATGTAGTACAGGCGGAAAATATGGTAGGGAACGTAGCAGACTACCATGATCAGGGCAAACAGGAGGCTCTTTCGCTGAGCCCCAAAGTCCTGCTCAGAGGTGCATCTTTGCTGGTACCTCCTGTATAAAACCAACAGGACGTTGGCCTGCAGGCCCGTCAGCACCAACGCCACCACTATGATCGATGTGCTCATGAAGTAGTTCAGCTCTCTGGCAAACTTGATGTTGTCTCCGAAATTGAAGCAGCGTGTGGTGTTGGTAGGGCTGTACTGCTTGCCGTATTGAAAATGGATGAGGCAAGGAGCTACGACTAAAACGGTGACCCACACGAAACCACTGCCAACGAATGCGTGCATCCGGTTGAAGGATACGACTCGTGCCGCTTTGAAATAGTGCGGCAAAAGACGAGTGACGAGGATGACCACGTAGAGCACAAACGACATGTACATGTGAACGTGGATCATGGCGCTCACAATTTTACACCACGGCAAGCCCATGCTCCAGTATTGAGTTGCATAGTAGTAGATTCTGAAGGGCGTGGTGAAAAGGAAGATGAAGTGGGCAAAGATCAGGTTGTACACAGCGCAGGAGGTGGAGGAAGCTGCGCGGTGTCTCATGATGTGCATCATCAGGCTCAAGCTAACAGTGCCGCAGAGCAGAACCACAGAGTAGATGACCAGGAGGGTTGTGTGATACTCCTTTTGCTTGTCTTGCTGTGTGGGAAAGTGGCTTGTGGTTGCTATGACCGTTGTTTGTGTGTAGGTCTCAGTAGAGGACATAGTTGAATCGCTGAGAAGAGAGAGAAATCAAGAAAGAGCAAGAGAGACATTTGTAGAGATACAAAAGCGGGGTGGGGCGTACACAAAAAAAGTTTCAGAAAAGTAAGGAGGGAGAAAAAAACATACATGTCAGTAAAACAGAGTGATTTAATGTTTCTTTGCATTATAGTGTAAACAGTCATTTACTGGATTTCCACGTGTTTAAAGTTGCAAGTCCATCAATGAAACCACAAAAAGTTGAGGATTGCTAGTTAGGCTGCTTCTTCAAAAAAGTTGTTGAGGATTGCTAGTTCGGCTGCTTCTTTGTCTTTTTCTTTTGTTTGTTGTAGATTTTTCATTAAAGAAGCATCAATAAAGCAATTTTAAAACTGTTTATTGGAAAACTGAAGMGATGCATTCTGTGTACATGACGGATTTGATTTGTGATGGGAAACAAAATCACGGAGTACAGGAAACTATCTTCCCTTCAAAATAAGAGCTTGGATTTTAAAGTTTTCCACGTTGTTGCTCCAGTTGACCACTAGATGTCAGTCTTCATCAGCATAACATCTTTAAATCATTTCTGCGTCACTTCAGCTAACCGCGTTGGCTGATTGCTCCGTCCAATTACGTCAAGTATTGAGCTCCAGCGTTTGAACTTTTTTTAAAGGAGCTCTGATTGTAAAGTAAAATAAATGAATACATACAAAATTTTAGTATGGATTACTAACGTTAACTGTTTTTGCTGGCCATTGCCTTCCTGCTACGTAAGCGGACACAAAGCATTGTGGGAAAAGAGAACCGTGACCGAAAGCAACAGTCAGCAAGGATGTATACCTTTCCAATAAGTGTATTTATCTGGAGTGTGTTGTGATTCATTGACAGCCTTACCTTCCGCTGTTCAAGATAATGATGACTGGTAGATAATTAATTATTAGCTGTACTRCATTTTAATTTTAGAAAATGCGCAAATCCGCTAATTGCGGACCTGAATATTTTGTTTGCGCTTTAGCGGGCTGGTGCCCACCACTGATAAAACATAATGACATTTTAAAGTAAGCAAAAGAGGTCACTGACTCTTGGCCTGAGAAGAAATGACTGGATAATTAATTTTTCCAAGACAGGTTTCGTTTAGCTTCAGCAGACAGGTTTTGCATTCCCGTATTTTAGTTCCATCACTTTTCCACATCCAACCCAGTCATGGTCCAGTTTTAGTCTTTTATGGCGCCGTTATATATTGCTGTTTTGTCTTGACTCAATGTGACCATTAAGAGATGTAAGTTATTTTTTAAAGATTTTCATGAGCCAGATTAACATAAGATTGTGCACATTTTAGCACCAAATGCCCTGACTTAAAGTAGCAAAGTTACCCCACCAACTACTTTATTGTACAAATGTTCAATTGCTTGTTAACACAAAAACTTAATGAGCCAATCAAATGTTCATCAAATGTTGATCAAATCTTGTTCTGACTTTAATCATTCTATCTGCAGATGAACAGCATGTCATGAAAACCTAGATCATTAAAGGATGTCATGAATAACTAGCTTAAACATAAAAGTATTAGTTCTAATACACCAACATCGTGATACATTTAGGCATCTTCAGCTTAAACGAACATCAGAATGGGGGAGAAAGGGTTTTTTAAGTGACTTTGAACATTTGGCAAAGTTGGTGCCAAAACAAAAAAAAGATTTACTGGGATTGTCATATGCAACCAGCTCCATAGCTGACAGAATCTCGTCAAATAMGGGATTATTTTTCCAGTCTTCTGTTTTGAAGAGCCTGTGTGTGTATATTGTAGCTTCAGTTTCCCATGCACCTGTGGTTCTTCTGCTGCTTTAGCTGTCTGCTTCAAGGTTGGACATGTTGCGTATTCAGAATAGTGGTGCCAGTTTTTTAGGGGTAGGGCTGCCCCAGTTTTGTAGGGGTAGGGCTGCCCCCCCCTCCCCCCCCTTGGTGTTGCCCCTGCTTTAGAGACGGTATCCTGCAGAACTTGGTTGGAACAAGTGATTTTTTGAGCTTCCATTGCCTTTTTGTCATCTCCAAGTCTGTAACCTCTGACATTAATGAGCCATTTTCCTAAACACAACTACCCACGGGATATTTTCTCTTATTCTGACCATTCTCTGTAAACCCTAGAGATATATAGATCCCCATAGATCAGCAGTTTATGAAATGCTCAGACTAGTCTTACTGGCACCAACAACCACAAAAGTGGCTTACTTCCCCTATCTTCTTCACATCTTGAACTTCGTCAGATCACCTTCACAATGTCTACATAAATTAATATCTTCTGAGTCGTGCAATTGACTGATTAGATATTGGTGTTAATAAACAATTGAACAGGTGAACCTAATTAACTGACTGGCGAGTGTATATCAGGGTGGCAAACACTACCCTCCATATTTTCCTGGTTCCTCTGCTCCAGTCATGATTCAGTGACTCAATGACGTCCTCAAATTCTGTAGAAGCCTGTAAATTATCAATTCATGCAAACCAGGTGTGTTTGAGCAGCTAAACAAGACAACATGCTGGATAGTGGCCCTCAAAGACCACAGTTCAGCACCTGTTCAGCCTTTTGAGATTTTTTTTTACATAAAGCTGATACTGAGCTGCAGATACTAAGACAAAACATCTCATTTCAAAACCAAAAAATTTCTGATATAAAATTGTTTTAGAAATGTTTTTGCAGTTGGGCTATTTTTTATATAAGCTTGTACTTGACGTTTTCAAAGTATTTTGGATTCTAATAAACATTTGTGGTACTCTTTTGTAGGGGTACACTTTGGAACACAGTATTAAACATGCTATAGTAGCGTTAGCACAGCATAAAGTGTTTAGATTTCTTCTTGTCCTGGATCAAATATAGTTTTGATTTGACCTATTATTCGGTTAAAAACAACAATTTAAACAGTTAAAAGTGCACTTCTGATCAAATCAAGACTCTAAAAAATTGCAATATCTAAAATCTAATTATTTTGTTTTAGATGAGAGTTTTCCAAGAGACTTACCTTTCCATAATAGAGCTTGCTGCCGACTGATCAAACCAAACAGAAAAACAAGTGTCCGTCCTCCTTTTCTCACAAAATCAATTACAAAGGTAAAAAGAAAAAAAGAAAGAAAAAAAACTTTGGGATCGTACCAACAGCCCAGGTTGTGGTAAAATGTAAGCATGAAAGCCCCGTGCACGTTTACATAGTGTCTGTCTGATCTCTGGTAGAAACAGGAGGTAACTTCATGACAGCGTAACCACAGAGCCGGTAGCTTCCTCTTTCTGACCAACCCCTTTATAAAAACCCTCTCTTCTTTTTAAAGGAGTACAAACATTAACTTGTACATGACATACAGCATATCTAGTACATAAAAAGGTAGAAAAATATTCTTCACATTTCCAGTGAGTTGTAAAAAGTTTTAGGATGCGTTGTTGTATAATGTTTATATCTACACACAAACACACACATAGATGGATGGATAGACAACCAGACAGACAGACAAACATCATTTCCAGGTAATGGAGGTAAGTGGTGCCCATGTCCAGCAGTCAGTGCTCTAGGGGCTGGGTACAACCCCTCACACCTAGTTTTCCAAACATACATGGTCTGTGGGGCAAAAAGCTGAGTACCCAGAGAAAAGCCACTCTTAACAGTAGTTTGTTGCACTATCTGAACATATTATATGATTCAAAATGTAAAAGAGAAGTGTTCCAGGATGTGAGGGTGCTAGCTGCAATGATGACATTTGTCAATATAAAAAAAGCAGAACCTACTTAAACACAGCATATTCTCATCATTTCCTTCACTTCTAAAGGCCTTCTTGGGAGAAGAAAATGGCCTTGCATGTTGTCTGTCACTTTTCATTTCAATTTGAGACTAAAAGGATTTCATGTTGACTTCAGTAGTTAATCATTTACAGAGGTATATCTAATGACTATTGAAAAAGAAAAAAAAATATATATATATCCAGCTAATTCTATTTAAGTAACCATAATTCTTAATTAAATGGAAGGCACAGGGACTTCCCATTTTTGACTCTCAGACATGTTGCTTCCTTCCAATGAGCTTGCATAATTAAAAATTAATTAAAATACATTTCTTTCAAGAAAAGTGAAGTTTCCTTTAAAAAGATGTCCAGTTGATTTTTATTTTTACATTTTTTTGGTATTACCGTGTCCTACACCTGTAATAATACGTAAGTAACCCTAAGAAACACAAGAAGCCATTGCTTTTAAGTTCCTTGTTTTGCTTTCTCTTCGTCCCCACATCCTCTTATAAATAAACATTTTCACACATTTCAAGTTTTTCTTGCTTTGCTGTACAGCAAGGTCTTGCTTTCTGGGGTGTTATTACAACCTTCAGTTAACCTGTTCAACTAAATTGCCCCAGGGACCACAGTTACTGCAGGCCAACGGCACAGGGGTCGAATATCGAGCCCATTCGCATGACCCCCGCATCAAGGTACGAGATGGGGCGGAGGAGGATGATGTGTTTTTACAAGACTAGAATTACGCAAAACTAGACATACTAGACCCTAAACTTTACTTCTACTAGCCTTATAGAGTCTAACCCTGACCACAGACTCTAAAGTTAACCTTTAATCCTGATTCCTCGTGTTAACCACAGACCCTAAAAGTAACCATCATTTTAACCACAGACCCTGAAATTAACCACTAACCCCTCATGTTAACCACAGACYCTAAAGTTAACCACTAACCCCTAATCTCATGTTAACCACAGACCCTAAAGTTAACCACTAACCCCTAAGCTCATGTTAACCACAGACCCTAAAGTTAACCA